GGGGATGTGGAGCTGGAACAGAGCAGCCTCGACTGAACCTCCAGCAAGCGGGGAGGATGCAGGGTCCTGGGGGGGATGGAGGTGGACCCAGCTGGCCCCAGTGGAGCTGCCCAGCCCTGGGGGGGAAGTGAGTTTGGGGGAGTGGGGAGCAGCACCCCATCCTGGGGCTGTACCAGGGACCCAAAGGAGCCGGGGTGAAGGTGGTGCTGGTCTGGGACATCACCTCTCTCCGGGGCCTGTGCTTCACAAGGCACCTATGAGCCTGTGTTGGTGTCGCAGGTGTGTGTTTCTAACGAGGAGCGTGACCATGGCCACGGGGGGGACAGCCAGCCCGCCCAGCGTCCCTCGTCACACCAACCGCCTGATTAACGAGAAGTCTCCCTACCTCCTGCAGCATGCTCACAACCCCGTGGACTGGTAAGAGTGACCGCTGCCATTCTCCCTCCCCTTCTCCTTGTGTCTGCAGGGCTGAGGGACTCACTGCCCTGGAAGCAGTGGCGGGTGAAGCAGCCTGGCCTCCATGGGGCATGGGGTGGTCTCCTGTCCAGCTTCCCAGAGGCTCGAGATCCAGGCTCCTGAGCTAGCTTTGCCCCCAGCTGCCCTGACCACTCTCTACCAGGCCGTGGCTTCTCAGGTGGCTTTAGAGGGGCACATGAATCCCAGCAACAGTGACCCCTGAAGCTCCTTTCTTGTCTTCCCTCCACAGGTACCCTTGGGGTCAGGAAGCTTTTGATAAAGCAGAGAAAGAAAACAAGCTGATATTCCTGTCAGGTAACCAGAAACAAGACATATTTCATGTTCCCATGTGTTGTTCAGTGGATGACCAGATAAGCCAGGCTGCATCCTGAGCTGGTGTGTGAGCTGCCATGTAGGTGAGGACGGACACTGGGCACTAATTCTCTGTCAGCAAGAAAGGGCCACGTGCTTAAATCACTCTTGCAGAAGATGGGCTGCATCCAGGGGCCTTCCTGGCTACCAGAGTCCTTGACCAGATCTTAGGAGCAAGAGCTGGAGAGCCCAGGAGGTCTTGCAAGCCTCCTGCAAGGCCTTTCTCCTCCATCTCTTCTCCTGGCAGCAGCAGCTGCTCCCCATAGCAGGGTTCCCCACCTCTAAGCAATTCCATAACATGTGTCCTGCTCTCTCTGAAGGGCCTTTCCTCACTCACCTGCACTTGTTTTCAGTTGGCTACTCTACCTGCCACTGGTGCCATGTGATGGAGGAGGAGTCCTTCAAGAACAAGGAGATCGGAGAGATTATGAACAAGAACTTTGTGTGCATCAAAGTGGATCGTGAGGAGCGGCCAGATGTGGACAAAGTGTACATGACCTTTGTGCAGGTAAGGGAGGCACAGGCAGGGCTTGGGAGGCTTTGCCTGGCTCTTTCAAGGTGAGGTTCATGGTCATGTTCCTCAGGCAAGAAGAACCAGTACGTGGGTTGGTCTGAATGGTACTGTGCACGATCACAAGGGTGGAAAGAAGCACACATCTGTCCTCAAGTGAGGCACTTGGATGTGCCAGAGGGGTACAGAGCAGAGGGTGCCTCTTGCATGACTTTGGTGTGCCTATGGTTTGTCTTTTAGGCAACCAGCGGTGGAGGTGGTTGGCCGATGAGCGTCTGGCTGACTCCAGACCTAAAGCCCTTTGTAGGGGGAACATACTTCCCTCCTGAAGATGGAGTTCATCGCGTTGGCTTTCGGACTGTGCTGCTCCG